CAGAAAAAAATGAAATTACCATCTGGTGTCATGTTAAGATATATCAAAAATGATTTACTTTTTATGCAAGGGCAGATATTCCATAAATGAGCACACCTTGTGTGCAAACTTCTTGGTAAAAATAGCGCTTAATTATAGTTATCATTAGTGTGGAATTACCACGATACCTGTTATTCCTGACATGACATCCGCAATTCCTTCTATATTAACGAGATCAGGATAATTCATCACGTAATAATTAACTATGCGTTTCGTAGTAATTGCTGACTTTCTAACAGAAGACATATGTTGATAATCATAAATTTTAAAATCGCCACACACCTGCTGGTTTGGGATACAAAAATAAATCCAATTAGATAATTATATGTACGGATATAAAGGCGATCTCAATCAATTCTCAATTACAGTCCAATTTAATTATAAGGTAGATGCATGAATGGAATGTTCTATTTTTAAATTCAATGCGCTCGGGTAACCGTTCTTTAAGTTCGACAAGTTCATTTCCTTTTTTTTTTTGTTGCGACCACACCCATAAGTTGGAAACATAATCAGTAGGTACAAATAAGCACGGTAATTAGTGGTATGTTATTTTGCTCACCCTGTACCAACATCAATTAGGCTCTCAGTATTTTTTCCACAAACATTATAAATAACATTTCTTATAACGTACCAACTGTATTTGAAGAATCGATATAATTCACATTCCCACAAGAAAACAAAATTATAGGAAATCCTCAAAACTTTTTATAGTGCAGTGGACCTTTTGGAGATATAAATAACTGCACCTTACAGGAAATCGATTTCTTGATTAATTCAAGTCCTAGCCACAAAAAATTCTTCAAATTACCATCTAAATATTATTCAACATTTGAATGTATGGTAGGCAAGCGTTTTTGAATAGTAAGATTACTTTTCTGGTACGGTTATGAGAAATGGTAACTGCTAAAATGGTGTTGGATTCTTTTTTTGTTTGTTTTCATTGGCGCTTCTCGTATATGTGCGTGCTTGAAATCATCAGCAAACTGAAAATAAAATACTTGGAAAAAAGGACATTACCTCGGAACCCCGCTTTTTAAAAATGCCAAAGTATACACCATGAGTTGCAATGAAAAGTACTACGGTGGAATGGCATCTTTTTAAATTGGTGTTGGTACGTTTCATACTCACCTACCTCAAGATATTTTTTTTTTGTTATATTTAAGTACGATCGAGTGCTACGAAAAATGCAGCAAATTTCTTATTATCGAGATATATTACTCGTATGTGAATTATTTATCGATTTGTTTTTGTTTTTAATTAATGCCAAAAATTTGAATATTTAACATAGGTCCTTATGGGAATCGAATAACGGGTGAAGAAAAAGCAAATGGTAAGAGGAAAAAAATATAGACATTTACCTGAATCATTAATTAATAGATGGAAGAAAGAAAAACAATAGGTTACCGCACATTTCACAGAGAAATAAATTATCAAACATGAAAAGTTCTGGCTTGTCGTCTGCCAAGTAATAAACGCGAAGGAGTAGCGGCAACAGCGCAATAGAGTATGAATGAGGATAGGTGGCGGTAAATTTAAATAAACGTTTCGATACACAAATTTTAGTCATTAGAAATGCTTTACATTGTTTAATTCAATTTGGAACAATAAAATAAAATGGGAAATTTTCAAATGAAGTACCTATGTTTTGTGACATCTTTTTTTATTTATAAAGTACGATAAACTTACAAATAAAAAATACAGTAGCATATAAACAGTGAAATATTTATACTTTGCATCACAGCGCATATAACAATCTCATGCATTTTGATGAATTATGACATTTTTAATATCATTTTTCAATTTACAATTAACATTTCAATAATTTCAGTATATTTTTAGAATATTTTTGGCTGCAATAACATCGTACCACAGTATGTATATCAAATTGTATTATACTTTCATAAATAATCCAATCGCTTTAAACTCATGCCTTATAAGGAACATTTGTATCCACAGAGGTGTATCATAGTAGTATGTTATCTACTTACGCATGTAACTAAATCATATTTAAACTTTTCCACGCGAATCACTTCATGATCACAGTTTGTAGATAATATAAAATACGTACAAGTTCTTTGCAAAAAGAGCAGTGCATGCTCTGTGCAATGTACTCTATGTCGGTTAGTTGATGCCCTCGAACGGTGTACGGAGGTTCTGGTTCCACAATCTTCTCTTCAACAGCTTTTGTCCTGCTTTTGCTATTTTCTGTTCTAATTTTCAAGCACTCATATTTTCTTTTGATCATAAATTTTCCTTTTTACCGATTCTGTTCTTCATCCGACATTTTAAGGCGGGTATCCACTTGTGGCAATGCTCCGTAACGTAACAACGAACATGTTACGGCCTGTTGTAAAAGGTGACACGGTTCGCAGCGAAAGTATGTGTGGTTTTGGTCGTATCATTCATTCCGTAACGTAACCAAATAAGGTTACAAGACGACACAGGAACATAAACTCGCAGTATGAACCTGACTGCAATAATGGATTCGTCACTGCAATTGCAGTTAGCAGCAGCGTCATATATTTTTATTCATCATACAATTTTGAAGAATAAGAAACGGAAATCTTTACAACTGATTGTTCGTCCCGGATTAGTTACGCGTGTGAAATTTGTTACACGTACCATGCAACAATTTTCCGTCTCCACTAGCTGTAACGTAACATGTTCGGTGTTACGTTACGGGGAATTTGACACAAATGGATACCCGCCATAACGTGTTTACTACAACATGCGATCCCGAACAATGTTGCCAACTCTCCGTAATGAAAATGGCGCATAATTCCAATCAGGCGTTACTTTTGGGACATCCTTTATAAATCATATGCCATAATCACATCTAAAATTGCCAGTGGGTATAAAGAAGTGCTTTTTAGGTTAAAGCAATCAGCTCTGCGAGCGATCACATAGCATAATGTATGTATGTATACAAGGTATATACATGACAAGGACTGCCAACTTACAAATAATATTCGTGCGCTGTTGTCAAGTTTCTGTTGCAATTTTTTGCATTCATTTATGCATATTGGGTAAAAAATAATAATGGAGGAATGGAAATACATAATTTTAAGTAATTTAAACTCGATTTTATTCAATATCTACAGGCAAGTATCTCAATCAATTTACTTTCTAGTCATAAAGAATAATTTTCTTTGCATCGACAGCAATGATTTTACAACATGGTAAGTAAGTATAGCACCCCACCTGTGTCCCGTTTCACTCCCCCCTCTCCCGATGGAGCACCAGATCCTCCTTAAATTTCGCTTTGGTTATGATCCGACAACATAAAAAAATAATAAAAAAAAAATATTGTGAAATTTCAAGTTTGATTTTGAAATTTTGGGTTTGAAATTTCGAATCTGCAAATTTTAAAACTAAACCTGAAAATTAGAGCTTGAATTTAAATTAGAAATTTTGTTCTTGAAATTTCCTGTTTCAAAATCCCAATTCCTAGTTTAAATCCCAAATCTTAAGTTTAAATTCTGTGAAATTTTGAGTCTAATCTTGAAAATTTTCTTTCGAAATAAGAAATTTCAAGACAACTTGAAATTTCAAGTTACTGTTGAAATTTTTTTTCAAATCCATAATAATTTTGAGTTTGAATTTTAAATTTGAATTTTAAGATTTAAAAATGGAAATTCGAATTTGAACTTGACTTGGTCGAAACAAGAAATTTCAAATTTGAACGTGAAATGTCAAGTTTGACTTAAATCTAGAAATTTCGAGCTCAAAAACTTATTATTGTATTTCAAATTTGAAATTTTGAATTTCGAGATTTAATCTGAAATTTGGAATTGCAACTTATTTATTGCCGACACACGAAATTTCCAATCAGAGCTTGCAATTTCATGTTTTAGTTTTAAACACGAAATTTTGTGTGAAACTCGAAATTTTAGATTCAAATAGAAATTTTGGGTTTGAAATTTCCAATCTGCAAATTTTAAAACTAAACTAAAACTAAACTTTAAAGTTAGAGTTTGAATTTAAACTAGAAATTTTTTGTTCTTGAAATTTCCTGTTTCAAAATCTCAATTCCAAGTTTAAATTCGAAATCTCAAATTTAAATTTTGTGAAATTTTGAGTCTAAACTTGAAAATTTTCTTTCGAAATAAGAAATTTCAAGACAACTTGAAATTTCAAGTTACTGTTCAAATTAATTTTTTTATTAAATGCATAATACTTATGTTAATTTTGAGTTTGATTTCGAATTTTATTATTTGAATTTTTCGTTTTGAAACAGGAAATTCGAATTTGAACCTGAAATTTCTTGGTCGAAACAAGAAATTTCTTTGAACTTAAAATATCAAGTTTGACTTGAATCTAGAAATGTCGAGTACAAAGACAAAATTTCTTATTTCAAACACTTAATATTTAGTTTCAAATTTGAAATTTTGAATTAGGAATTTCGATATTAAATATGAAATTTGGAATTGCAACCTAAAATTTATTGTCTAAACACAAAATTCCTAGCTGGAACTTTTTCAAAAACTAAATTTTATGCGTAAAACTAGACATTTTATGTTCAAGCTGGAAACTTCGAGATTGAAAGTCGAAATTTCAATTTTTAAGTTCGGAATTTCTAGTTTGACACATAATTTTAAATTTATAAAAAAAATACATATGGATATTATTAAACCATTAAAATAACTGACTCTATCGCTTGTTTTTACATTTACCAGTAAACTAACTTATCCCGTATTTTCCTCATTGGTTTTGTAGACGTTTTTGTTATTATTTCATAACAGCAGATATCAAGCATATCATAGGTAGTGGGCTTAAGTTGCAACCGGATATCTACCGCTGAAAAAAACAACCCACCGAAAAGTGCACCGTGAATTAATTTGCACCTACACGTGTAACGCGGTGATAAAGCGACGAACCGATACGAAAACACCACAATTTCCGGAATAAGTCTATATAACCGGCGATGGGGTGAGTTCGTGCCCAGTCATTGACGTCGCGACTATTTTGGAATCGGAGACAGCACTCAAGATGTCGAATAATAAGAGAGACCCAGCGTCCAGACAGCTGGAGGAATGGTACGAGAAAAATAAGGTAACTGTTAAGTAATTTCCTATCTTGCCTTGCTTGGTTTTATGGCTTCTAGGCTTTGCTGTGTTCCGGGAATTGTGTCATGGACGTAGATAGTATATTTTGGTAGTAGAGGGCAACATTTTTTACAATGTATTTTAGTCTCAAGGTATAAGCATTAGTTTTTGCAGTATATGGCTCAGAAAAAGCAAAATTAGAATAAATTTTTTTCTATACTATAACTTGTCAGAAATATCAAATATGATTAACATATTACATATTTCTTTTTTGGAACAAGTTCCAGTTCAGCACAAGAGATTAAAGAACCTTCGAGGAATTAAATATTACAATTACGGCTATAATAATAATTCAAACACAGCAATTAATTTACTTATGTTGTTTAATAAGATATGACTGATTTTTTTATTGTTTATATGACAACAAAATATTACAATTTGATAGTGAGGGTTTTATTTTCCACTATGGTAGAAAGTAACACTCAGTACAAATTATTTTTTTTCTAACTCTTACAAAACTCAGAAATAAAAATATAACATTCAAGGTGATTCACAAATGGCGACCAAAAATGAAACATCGTATTCTTTGGAGAACTTTAAAAGGAGTCTTTCCTATAAAGTTTTTATCTAGTACGCTTCGTTAAAAACTTACAGGGTGTTAAACTTCAAAAAATATGTTTAATTTTTTTAAATAATTTAAAAACTAGTAAGTGAAATAACTTGAAATTGGGCACATTATTATTAAAATTTTGAGAATGGTTTTTAAATATTAAATGTGATTTTTCTAACTAAACACAGTCGTGCATATTTCTTGAAAATTACTGATAATTTCCACTACACTTATTACCTACAGCTACTGATAATTGGTTATAATAAAACCAGTCGTTTAGAATGCAAAGCTAAATAAGGTAGTCTTCTATTATAATAAATACATACGTACCTACTTGTATTATTTTCAAACCTCTAATCATAATTTGATGAAATACTGAATAGAACTGAATAGAACTGAATAGAAATTATCTCTTATCTTATTTTATCAGTACAGGAAATTTGTTTTCAAAATTACAAAAAAATCACATTTAGCGCAGTTATAAAAGCAAATACATTTATAATTTGCCTTCGGAATATACAGGGTGTTAATAATAAGTTTTACTAAACTTTAATGGCTTATTCTATCGATGAAAATAATCAAGTATTGCCCTATAAAAATTTTTGATAGGACGCTTCCCTACGGAGATACAGGGTGTTAAAAGTTTAAAATATTTATATTATTTTTGCTGTAACTTCACTGCCATAAAAGATTGAGTGATAAAATTTGGGAGATGACATTTTTTTAGTAGGGTCTATTTTTTCATGGATAATTTACTCGAGGGTTCTGAGTAAAATGTAGGGACCAATCAAGCAATCGCCCAGAGAAAACTGTTCTTAGATTCGAGGTTGGGAAATAATATGCGGATTTTCATCCGTCCATTGGTGGTTATTATGATAATTCGAAATGATTCTCTTGTGAATTTCGCTTCATCGATAAATAATATTAATCACTGAAAACCAGGCTGTACGCAATGTTGTAAAAACCACTGACAAAATTCAATCCTTGGTTGATAGTCATTTTCATTTAATGCATGAACTTGCTGGACATGATATGGGCCTAATTACTGCTCACGTACGACGTTCCAGATTGTTACATGTGATGTGAATCTGTTGATATCTGTCTGGTACTGGTAGATGCGTCTTCATCTACAGATTCCAAAATTCTGTCTTCCAAATGAACGAACAGGTCTTTCTCTTGCTCGACGTTTTGGTAGCGACAAACATGCAGTTTCACGAGCTCGAAGGTGAACGCTGAAAAAGTATTCCTTGTTGGACGACGTCGATTGGGAAAAGTCTGTCTATAAAGTCGTTCAGCTTGTCTAGTATTGCCATTCGCTCTACCCTATGTAGAATGTATATCTGCTACATCAATATTTGTATAATGCACCACAACTAGCAGAAAAACGCGACAAAAATTTATGACAGTTTCAAAATTATGACCGTTTCCTAGCAACAATTTGCCACCTACGGTACTGGTATTTTACGGTTGAAATAAATTGTGTTCAGTATTCGTAAAAAATATAATTTTAATATAATTAATTTTAGTTTTAGTTTAGTTTTAGCTGTATTACATTCAAAATAACCCGCTATTCTGTTCAATTTTTTATTCTTTTTTTGTCTAATTTGCGCGATCCCCACTTGCGACTCACACAGCTAGATGAAGTTCGAGTCGTCAGTTAATTCACGCTTAATCGCTGGTTTTCACGAGTGCCGCTATTTGATATAACATACTTTCCCTTTAATTAAATTGAAGTGTGCCGCAATTTTGTATCACCCCGTTTCCACTCCGGACTGAAGACTGAGGGCCCTCTGCAACAGGGAAGACCCCGGAAAATCTGCGGTAAGTCGCAAGTCACTCAAAATTTACCTTAAAGATAGTTACGTGCCCAGTTACATTTAGCTGGAGCTATCCAGAATTAATTAAAAATACAACAAATTATTCAAATTGAATACCATATTTTTTTTTTATTAAAATCTGTTTTTAGTTGTATGACAAATAACAAACTTTTTGCAACACACAAAACAGTGGCGTCGTATAGTGTTTTGAAATCTCTCAAAAATATTAGGTATTGAATTTATTATTACACATTTAGCAATCAATAGAAAATGATAAATAGCAACGTAGGTACTTAAGTATTTTCTTATTTGATTTCCCAATTATCTAAAGATCAGTAAATTTTACGAATACTTTACAAGAATACTTTATTGCCACAGATTGTACAATTTAAAAACATTTAAAATTATTTTAAAAACCAGTGGCGTACGATTTTTTTTTTCAAAAAAGGTTCCCTATTCCCCCATTAACTACGCCACTGGAGTGCATTTTGGAATAAGTTATCCATGAAAAATATAGTCCCTACTAAAAAAAAACTCATCCCCCAAATTTTATCACTAAATATTTTTTGCCAATGAAGTTACAGGAAAAATCATACAAATATTTGAAACATTTAACACCCTGTATCTCCCTAAGGGACCGTCCTAGCAAAATTTTTATTATTATTAAACGTTGTTTAAATAAACAACAACGAAAATTCATTGGTAGAATACGCCATTAAAGTTTGGCAAAACTTATCATTAACGCCCTGTATACAATATATTATATAAAATTATTGTAATATTCTAGAAAAATATAAAAGTTACTATTAAAAGTTAAAATTGTAGTTCAAAGAATGAATGAAAATTCCTAGTAAGTTTAATGAGCAATAACATTTTCACTCGTCCAAATAAGTTTGCGACTGAGAAATGTTTCTATCTTTTTTCTGAATTTTAAGGAACACTGTACACTAATTCTGGGTGTTTGTTTATAATTATATCTTATCTTATTTTATCAGTACAGGAAATTTGTTCTTCACAATTATAAAAAAATACCATTTAGCGCAGTTATAAGCAAATACATTTATAATTTACCTTCGGAATATATACAATATATTATACAAAATTATTATAATATTCTAGAAAAAAGTTATTAAAAATTAAAATTGTATTTCAAAAAATGAAAATGAAAATGAAAAAAAATGAATTCATGAAAATGAATGAATGAATTCTTCTAGTAAGTTTAATGAGCAATAACATTTTCCTTCGTTTGCGTCTGAGAAACGTTTCTATTTTTTTTCTGAATTTTAAGAAACACTGTACATTAATTCTGGGTATTAATTTTATTAAAAAAGCTTCATTAAAAACACTAATTTATTCTCAAATTTATTTTTATTATCTTCATTATTTCAAGAAATTCGATTTTTTCAAGTCGCAAGTTGACATTGTTCATTGTGACTACGAAAATGACTGATGCAGCAATTGCCTTAGTGCAAAATGATTGGGACGTAGAGAATTTAGATGGTATAAAATATTCTATATTTCAAGTCGTAAAATACATTTATTTAGAATTAACCTAAATTCTTATGTTTCTTCCAGCATCATTCTTTCTATTCCTATAGATTTCTATTTCATCTTTGAAGTTGAAACTGTATATTCAACTACATAACAGCTATTCAAATAACGAAGAATCTATTGTCAATAAAGGCGAACAGCTTCGATCATAATAGACTTGCAAATAATTGCTGGCCTTCCTGATACATCTGCAAAACAATGTTCACAAGAAGTTATTGGATTATAAAACGACAATTAAGAATCCCGCGGTCATCTGCTGGCCTCATGACAAGATATAAAATTAAAAGTCATCGTTTTTGTACAACTAAGCGTATATAAACTCGGAATGTGGACACTTCTTATCTTATAATTGGATCTACATTTAAATCGTGTTTTAGCTCTCGAGAGAGGAACTGGATAAATGTAAATAGAATTATTCTTCCTATTACAGGATCTGACGTTGCAAATCCAGCTGCGCGATTCCTCGCTGTGAATCAATCACGGGAATATTTGCGGGGTTATTTCAAAAAGTAACAGCAGGTTTGCGGGATGTCTCTTAAAAAATTGAAGATTAGAGGGGGATGAGTTCCGCTTAGAAAAATAGTGGGGGTAGTTCATATAACGTTTTTCTTACTAAAGGTTGTGTTTCCGAGATACAGGGTGTTAAAATTATTACTCTGAACACGTTTTTTTTTGTTTAATTAGTTTATCGGCAAATGATAAAGATGTCAAATTTTCAACACGAAATATCAGCTGTCTGTAGTTCAACAGATATAGGCCAATCATTATAGCTTTTTTTCAGGAAAAAAATACTATTAGAAGTTTTTCTGCGGAATATTGTTCAGAAACGTGTTATAAACAAAATATCAAAAAATCAACTCGAGACTAGTTGGGAAACTTTGTTAAAACAATGGTCAAAATTATGGAAAAGTAGTTTTTCGACTGGCGTAAAAAAACTGTTATTCATAGAGAAAAAAAGGTTTATACAAAAAAGGTAGGTATTAAATAAATCTGTAAAATAAGACAAGTCCGATTAAATTCCGATAATTT